ATGTATTACCAGTGTGCCCTTTAAGCCAATTTGACACTGGGATTCCCTGTGATGGTGTATAACCAGTGTGCCCTCTAAGCCAATTTGACACTAGGATTCCCTGTGATGGTGTATAACCAGTGAGCCCTCTGAGCCAATTTCACACACTGGGATTCCCTGTGATGGTGTATTACAAGTGTGCCCTCTAAGCCAATTTGACACTGGGATTCCCTGTGATGGTGTATTACCAGTGTGCCCCCAAGCCAATTTGACACTGGGATTCCCTGTGATGGTGTATAACCAGTGAGCCCTCTGAGCCAATTTGACACACTGGGATTCCCTGTGATGGTGTATAACCAGTGAGCCCTCTAAGCCAATTTGACACTGGGATTCCCTGTGATGGTGTATTACCAGTGAGCCCTTTAAGCCAATATGACACTAGGATTCCCTGTGATGGTGTATTACCAGTGTGCCCTTTAAGCCAATTTGACACTGGGATTCCCTGTGATGGTGTATTACAAGTGTGCCCTCTAAGCCAATCTGACACTGGGATTCCCTGTGATTGTGTATAACCAGTGAGCCCGATGAGCCAACTTGACACACTGGGATTCCCTGTGATTGTGTATAACCAGTGAGCCCTCTAAGCCAATTTGACACTGGGATTCCCTGTGATGGTGTATTACCAGTGAGCCCTTTAAGCCAATTTGACACTAGGATTCCCTGTGATGGTGTATTACCAGTGTGCCCTTTAAGCCAATTTGACACTGGGATTCCCTGTGATGGTGTATAACCAGTGTGCCCTCTAAGCCAATTTGACACTAGGATTCCCTGTGATGGTGTATAACCAGTGAGCCCTCTAAGCCAATTTGACACTGGGATTCCCTGTGATGGTGTATACCAGTGTGCCCTCTAAGCCAATCTGACACAGGGATTCCCTGTGATTGTGTATAACCAGTGAGCCCTCTGAGCCAATTTCACACACTGGGACTCCCTGTGATGGTGTATTACCAGTGTGCCCTCTAAACCAATCTGACAGTGGGATTCCCTGTGATGGTGTATAACCAGTGTGCCCTTTAAGCCAATCTGACACTTATGGCTTCCCTTTGATAGTGTATAACCAGTATGCCCTTTAAGCCAATTTGACACTGGGATTCCCTGTGATGGTGTATTACCAGTGAGCCCTCTAAGCCAATCCGACACACATGGCTTCCCTTTGATAGTGTATAACCAGTGAGCCCGCTGAGCCAACTTGACACACTGGGATTCTCTGTGATGGTGTATAACCAGTGAGCCCGCTGAGCCAATTTGACACAGGGATTCCCTGTGATTGTGTATAACCAGTGAGCCCTCAAAGCCAATTTGACAATGGGATTCCCTGTGATGGTGTATTACAAGTGTGCTCTCTGAGCCAATTTGATACGCTGGGAAAAAGAGGGGTACAAAAAACAACTTTCTATTTATGCATTGAAGTATGCATTTCCCTAACTTTAGATAGATCCAAGTTAATTCTGTGCAATATTTGACTTAGCTGTACTACAGTGATTGAAGTCACTTATACTTACTATTCTAAATATTAACTCTCCAGCACTGAGAGTGATCGCATGATTAATGAGAATGGATAAAGCAGAACCTTAATCTTAACTGAACCATTTGAGCCACTTTTACACACTACATTGTAATGAAAACAGGGTACCCACTATTATCTTGTGCTCAGAATGCAATTAAACTTACCTTTCAGATGTTACAGTGCTGATGGTTTAATGAAAAGTTTGTAATTGTATTGGAATAAATTATGATTGGGATCAATCAAAAACAGAGCTATAATGCAAGCTGACTTACGGGCTGGTCCAAGATTGGTAATAAGACATTCCAACTAGATCCACAGTTGACAAACACTAAAGTGTAATTTCACCACTCCAGTATTAATACCTGGTGTAGTATTGGTTATATGGTTGGCACTTAACACTAACAGGTACACGAGTACACTGCAGCCAGCCAACTGCAACAAAAATAGGCAGTTTTTTAAACGTTATAAATCATTAGAATAGATAACCATAAGGTATTCAACCATTCCAAGAAGTACAAGACCCAGTGAAGATGCCTACTTTTTAGACATCTTAATTACTTGTTGAATGTGTAAAATGAGAAACACCAGGCCCAGCAAGTATTTATTCAGTATGCTTTTCTTAGTGAAAGTAAAGGTGCAGAGAAAGAAATTATTTTATTATTTTTTTTCATCTGAAAAAGCCAGAAGTATTTAGTATTTAAATTGTTACTTATTATAAAACGTGATGAATTCATACAACTACTAATGTGCACTGAATGAGAAAAGAGAAGAAACTAACAGACCAATGCTTCACATATAATGCACAAGCAATTTTACCAAAACCAAGCTACCACCAATAGATTGATCAAGATCAATTATTCATACATCTTAAATTTGTACAGTACATGTAGATATATACCGAACTCTACCGCGTTAGCGCCCATGCCCGGTCAAGCGCCCCCCCCCACTTTTGCACAATTTTTTTGTGAATGCGTCGACCACGGTAACCGTGCGTAAACTACGCTTCGACAATGACCTGTTAATAAAAGTAAAATGCAGTAAATATTTCATGTCGTATTCAGTTTACCGATAAAAATGGCTAGTTACCATTTTTAACAAAAAAACATGTCGTTTATTTACTGAAATCAATTCCAACAGATTGTACTTGGACATCGACAACTTACTTCCGCAAAGCGTTAGAATTGAGTCTGTAGCACACAGCATTTTGATTGGATAACAGACTTGACCCATTAGGTCAAAGGACGTTAATGCAGGTCAAATGCAAATACATCATAGCGGAAAGTGCTTTTTATCGAGAGTTTGCGTACGATCCGATACATTCGTCAGTGGCGATATTGATAAAGATTTTTCCAACAGACTCAAATATCTTTAATCTCGTAAATTCGTGTGGTATGTAATTAATATTGTAATAAAATGTGCATATTTGATCATTTTTGTTTCTTCATTGTAAGAGTCAATGACGACCCACCTAATTTCGTAATTTTATTTTCCCTCAAATTTTCAAAGACGTAATACCCACCCACCCCAAATTTGTCACACTGAATTAAAATTGTCATTTGCACTTATTTCCGAGGGGGCTGGTCGGGTAAGCACCCACCCCCTAAAAAAATCCTGATTTTATGAGTTGAGGGTCCTGGACACTAACGCAATCGAGTACGGTAATTGAAAACAAATACACAATAAATAAATGTGTGTATGTATATATATATATATATATATCTAATTCAGTACTCTCAACCTTGCATGTAAATGATGATGGCTACATCCCCAATTACCCCCCCCCCCCCCTATGGTGAGTAGTCATGTGTTAATTTGATTTGAATAGACTGATTAATTTCAATTCAAACATG